TCCCAGAGATTGTGGATCCCTGCCTCCTCGACAGCAGAACAGAGGACACCTTTTGTTGTTTCTGGTGGCAAAAACATCGACTTGGGGAGCTCCCCACATGCGGAAGAGTGGAAGGAGGTACTCTTGGATTTGGAGGAAGATGTTATCACCATCGAGTTAGGCTGAGGGTGCGAGAAGAGGAATTCGGCATCTGCCTCTTGGACCCTGTACATGTGGTCCAGTTGTCTCATGGACACGGGGCAGACGAAGGTTTTAGCCATGGTGTCTTCGCCGCTTGCAGAAGGACTGAAGACATAGGCAATGCCAAGGTGGAAGAGGTATCAAGCTGAACTATATCATAAACCGCATCTGTTGCCTGCGGATGTTGCTGGACAACAGAGAGGCCTAAAGAGTGGCTCATTCTTTTGACCAAATCTGTGTGTTGTCAGATGGGGATACGGGTAAGTCGTCAGCGACATCCTGGTTGGAGGATTTATGGTCAGGAGAGGTATGAGCCTCAGATGCCTCCATATCTGAGTCCTCTTCTATTAAGTCAGAGGAGTCTTGTTGTGGTATTTGGACCGATGTGTCCTGTTGACAAGTTATGGGTTTAGTTGGGACGACAGGGTTTGGAGTGACCGGAGGGTTAAGAGGATGACTTGGTTCCAGAGTATGATGATCGTCTGGAGGAGGACGTGACAGAGATGCCGAAGGTCTTGATTTGTGGGGCGACCTTGATCTATGAACAGAGTGGGACGAATAGCGATCACAATCAGAATAGCCCGCCGGAGTCAACCACGGCATGGATGGTGGATACGCCCTGTACAGGTACCTCAACTGTCGTTGATCCCAAGGTATTGGTGGAGGGGGCAGGAAGACTCTGGGGGATCAACTTCTGGACTGTGGACGTCTTGGAGACAAAGCAGTAGCCTGTCTGTGAGAACTGTCCCTGTAGTCTCGGTTGTCGATATCGACAGATTGACTGTGCAGATGTGGAGGGTGACGCTGCGTATCGCATGTAGTATATTGGTGCCGACGTGGATCGATGTCGGGAGCTTCCGATACCGTCGATGTCGACAACGGGGAAGGAGACAGAGAAGGCTCTGCATCCACTTGATGACTTAGGAGCTCTACCATTTCGATGTCGGAGTAAGGACACTCCACTTGTTGGATGGGGGAATTCAATAGTTGGATGGTTGGTATCGGCAGAGGAAGTTGGGTCTCCGATATCAATACTGCCATTGGAGCGGGAGGCACTTTAGGGCCATCACCCAGTGCAGACACCGCTTCCTTCCCCTTCTTCGCCACCTTAAGGGACTTGGAGGTGCCCTTCTTCGCGGACTTGTGATCTTTACTTGCCTTAGCCTTCTTTTTGACTGGCGTGGAAGTGGATTATTGTGCCTTCGATGTTGGGAGCTTCGGTGTCAGGCGTCAACATCGGAGGCAGGCCTCGATGCCGGAGCTGTCAATGTAGACGGTCTCTCCTCCATCACTGAGGCAGGAGTAAGGGCCGATTCAAGCAGCGCCACTTTAAGGCGCACAGCACGGTTTTTTCGCGTTTGATAGGAGAAACGAGCACAGTGACAACAGGACTCTGGCTGGTGAGACTCTCCGAGGCAAAAAATGCAGAGGGCATGACGGTCGGGAGGAGCAACTTTGCTGCCGCAACCCCTGCACCTGTTGAAAAAGCCCCACTTCTTCTCCATAAAAGAAGCGAAGAAGAGGGAACATTGGGAAGGGGTAGCCCGAAGGCCTGAAGTAATCAGTAGACTCCCCCTCACAAAAAAATAATTTTTTAAAAGCTTTTTTGAAGAACAAACAACTAAAAAAGAAAACTAGAGTAAGGAAATAATTCCGAAGAGCTGAGGAGAAGAGCCACAAGCTAACCGATCTGACCGACGAAAAAGAGGTCTACTCAACGCGGCGGTAAGAAAGGAACTGGCGGGATGTCCACGCCCACCCCTCTGGGCATGCGCGGTGGGGTTCCTGCGCATGCCCAAGGGACTGGGCGCGAAAATCCGTTAAAAGAGCTTGATACAGCAACGATCGATCCAGCGCATGCACACTGAATCCCATGGGTGTGAAGCACAGAGACTACGTCGAAGATCAGTGTGTTGTGCAGCATGGGGGATCTACTGTGGGAAGACAGACTCCCCCTTTACACGAGCTGCTCACTGCTTGTGACTTTTGATACAACCCAACACCTCCAAGGTGCTAAGTGAGAGATACAATGAAATCAGCAAATGCATTTTCCTTTAAAGAAAGGCTGAAAAATAGCAGGAGATAGAACAGTCAGCTACGCCAATAAGTCTCCATTTTGTTCAGAAGATAGGCTACTTAACTTTCAATCAAGACTGCAGGGATATCATACACTCATTGAAATCAATGACCCTACCTTCCGGATCAATATATTGAGAATTTCAGTTGCATATTCAAAATCAAGGATGGCCAAATTGTGGATTATATGCTAGATCCAGACTCAGAAGCAATATAACTGGACTCAAGCAACCCTACCAAATTTTAAGCAAGATGTTAGAAAAGGTTAACTCACAGTTTTCCACATGACAGGAGAAAACATTAATCCTATATTTCTGTTTAGGATTTTTAAAGGTCAAAAAGATTCATGTGCTTTGCAACCACGTGATAACCTGGTGGAGTCTTGGGAACCATGCTATTTCCTGCTACTTTCCCAAGCCTGATTTGCATATGGGAGACGTCATTATTTGTGAGTGATTTTTCTGAAGATCGCTTCAACAGGCACCATTAATTGTAGTTAGATTCTGCTTTGCTTTCATTAAGCAAAGAAAGGCAGCCTTCAATCAACAACAGTGACACTCAAAAAGCAAGGTAAGCAAATTACTAATCTCTTAACACTAATCAATGTTTTCTTGTGAAACAGAAAATATACATTGTTCTCAGACCACATAACAAAGCAGGCCACGTAACTGGCTATCTCACCTTTAATGCACCATATTCTACTTTTATAGGTAAAAAATTATACAATTTCAGAGATGTCTTGAAATGTTTAAATATAATATTTCCATACACAAATATATACAAATCTCTGCTAGGGATGTGCACAAATACTGTATACTGAGGTTCAGGATCAGACCATTCTGTTAATAAATTAGTTCAAATTATTTATTTTTGTAGTAGCATATGTTCAGTTTTGGTATTTAAATTCAGATGAAATGAGAATGGAAGATGAGACACAAGTTATTTCCAGCCATAACTTTCCCCAGCTTCTAACTAGCTTCTCCTTCCCAAATTGCTGGCAGACTGGGGAAAGGGTCCCCATTTTATGGACCATTAATATTCTCCCTTGCAGAGCAAGTGCATGGCAGCATGGTGGAATTACTCCTCTCTCTCTTCCCACAGCTGGGATCCCAAATAGGGGGCTCTTTTTAAACAGGAAAGGCAATAGGCTGTACAACCTTATTAACACTACTAGACTGATCGATTTCAGCACTTTTCTTCAAGCCTGTACTCAACATATCTTACCTCCCAGCATCTAAGGAGCCAACAGGCTTACTTGGAGAAAAAAAGGTTAAATGATCCAGGAGCACAGCAAGAAAACACATGGAAGGGTTTGGCTTTACCATCCTTTGTCGGCATGCTCCATTATATAAACAAGATACAGCTAACCCCACTTTCCACTTCAGCAGGTAGGCTCAGGAATAACTGGGTCCCTCCCACTAAGCAGTGTTCAGATGCAGAGATCTCATATATTGAATCAGGTATCTTAGTTATATTCCATTCTATAAAATAGGAGGGTTGCCTATCATGAAAAGAGCAGAGAATGCCGTACATTAAGACTAACCTGTGGCTGCTCTCCAGTATAGCATGGGGGCTTTCCTCTCCTTACAAAATACATACTCAAAGTTTTTACTATTAAACCGGCAGGTGCCAGGCAGCAAACTTAAGGGATATGTACTAGACATGTTAAAACCTCTACTTCTGTCCCCCTCAGCCTTCTACCAGCAGATGCAAGACAGCATTTGCTTGCTCCTATCACTGAGCTAACACCAGATACTTATTTATAGCTAGAATGGCTAGATCAAGAAGCATACCTGTTGATACAGGATACACCCCCTCCACAAGTGAATGAGCCAGCAATACAACTGGCATTTCTGTGGACAGCACTTCCCCAGTCAGGGGCATTACAAGGCATGAATATGGGCCATTTTGGATGGATGGTGGGCCTGTCAAGTACATATTTGCCAAGTCATTCACTCTCTCTCCTCTCACAGGCTCAGCCCAATTCCTAACTATCACAAAGCATAGAAACCTAAACATGAGAACAGCTGCAGGTATCAAAATGCCACCAGCAAAATCTGGCCTAGGAAATTGTAGGTAATCTCAATGAAATCAATTACTTATCTAAAGTTCAGAGACCGTATTTAGATTAGATTTTGATTAATCACATTCTGAATTCACATTCCTATTTCTACTAGTCAATTAAAAAAATACCATATTTCCCTCACTGTGGCTCATTACAGAAGTTACAAATTCTGATCTGTTGATCATAGTTAAGGTTCAACAGCACCCCTCAGATACACATGCTACTTTCCTTCTGCTTCTCCCTTAATCCAATATACTTTACTGCCCCTCATATTTATCACCACATTTAGTGCTATAGCTACACTGATTTGTTTGTTTATAGTTAACGTAAAAAACTTTTTATTTTAATTTTTAACAAATAACATACAGAGTGAGGGAAGTTCCATTAACAAATAGTTTAATGTAGAATTTGAAACTTGCTTGGCCTCAAAGTCTAGTGTCAAGTTCACAAGTCAGACATATTACTATCCACAGTTAGTGCTAAAAAAGAGAAGAGACCATGGTATTTGAGTGTGAGAATTTGCATGCAGCTCTGAGAAGCTACTCCTGATCTCTTAATACCTATGGGATCGGAAATCTTTTATCGGCACTGAGCCCATTGTGACATAAGCATAAGTTCATACACTTTATTTTCAGAACAAAACAAAGTTTAAAAGTAGTTGTATAGCATTTTTGTTTACCAGAGGAGCCCAATAGGTGTAGAGGTAGCCTATTTTCAGCGCTGGTACAAACTGTGAGCAGGAGACAACGAGAAAATAAAGATTCAAGAAAAACTTGAACTGTTCATATAAAACCTAAAGCAAAAGAAGAAGAAGAAACAGAAAATGGTGTTTTCAAAAACATTTTTAGGTAACAAGCAACTCCAACCAAATTTTACTATAGCACAATTATGGCTTCATTTTCTGAATTCTATGCTGGCTCCACTTCTTTGAACCTGTTCCAACTCTAAAAATGCAAAAAACCCACAAAAAACACAAGTAACAGAAACATTTAATGCTAATATTAAACAGCTAGCCCTACCTTAATGTAAAACATCCCAATACACCATCTCATTCTAGAACTCATCCACAACCCTGGAGTAATAATATTTAACTTTTATGTTATGTTTGAGTGTGTCCAAATACTTGGCATACACTTTATAAAGATAGTTCTTGCCCACTGCTGTATTACAAATAGGAAATGGATAGTGAGCAATAGCAGCTGAACAACAGATTTCTGATGGGCAGTTCATATTCTTAGCTGCTATACTATGCCAGCTCTTGATAATAATGATTTTAAAAGATGACTGTATAGACAATAATTGTCCAAGGAATTATCATGGCAATAATAAACACATCTGAGGGGGCATTTCTACATATACACACACACTTATTTATTGCTTTTCTATTCACAACTACAAAGGAAGGGGGGAAGGGATACTAAACAAAAATACAAAGCTAAAACAAGGATCATGTTACATTAGTTACATCAATATCATAATTGTAAAAAAATACAAATAATCATAATTGTAAAAAAATACAAATAAAAGGAGTGATACTGTCTATTTTTTCAAAACCAAACTGATACAAGCATAATTAGCCAGAGTAGGTGCATTCTAGTTTCTTATATATCAAAAGAGAATAAGGCTTTCAAGATTAAGGTATACATCACATCATTATCTCCTGTGTTTGTTTTTATCATAGTTCAGTTTAACTATGGGGGCATCTTCTTTTAAAACACAACAAATTTAGTTATAAGAAGTTAATTAATACAGAGTTAAAAAGACAGTTACTCTGAAATTATTAAACTAAATGACAGGAACCCACAGAGAGTTGATGGGTCACATCATTTCTACCCGTCATTTCTACACACTGGTTCATTTTTCTCTCCTCCTGGCAGCCCCCATATCCTCTCCCATTTCCCTGCTTCTTTCTCCTTCCCATTCACCAATGAAACTTTATTTTACCTGCCTCCCAGTCTTCAGCTTTATACCTAATTTACTTAATTTATACCCCACCTTTCTCTTCAATGGGGACACAAAGCAGTTTACAACATTCTCCTCTCTTTCATTTGGTCCTCACAACAACCCTGTGAGTTAGATTAGGCTGAGAGTGACTGGCTCAAGGCCACCAAGGAAGCTTCCATGGCACAGTGGTGATTTGGACCTGGGTCTCCCAGATCCTAGTGGGATACTCTAACCACTACACCACTCTGGCTCTCAGCTTTCCCTCCCTCCCCTCCCTCTCCCTGGCAGCCTCTCCCTGGGAAAATTCTGGGCCAGTTATCAAGCAATTTGTACAGAAGCAGCTGCTCAGCCCAGGCAAATTATATGACATCAATTTGGCCAGTAGCCACCACTGCACCTAGGTGAGTTGCGCAAATTGCATGGCAGCAAGTTGCTCACTGATGGCTGAGAGGCCTGGCCCAATATGTTCTCCCTCTGGGGCAGGAGGAAGGGGAGAAGAGGTGGAGTGGGAGGCCAAAACAGACTGGGAAAGGCCCTTGCCCCACCTTTCACTGACAGAAAGCAAAGTCTGAAGGGCTGTCAATATTTTCTAGTTCCTTAACAACCCCCACAATGACCTCAGAAGGTGTTCATTTCTTTAAAGTACAGGTGCTGCTTCGCTTATTTGGGGGGGCTAAGCCCCGATGTGTTGAATTTTTTTCAGACCTGTTCTCAGGTTTACTAAAGATCTCTCATGTCTGTTTGTGGCTCCAGTCTCTTGAAGTAGCCACAGATTGGGCAACAGTGGGAATCAGACATATTGATAAAATCAATATGGTAAAGTTTGTCAATCTACCATGATCCCTACACTGTCCTCAAAATAAAGAAAAGTAAATATTGTAATTGATCTATTTGAAAGATATTTTTATTATGAAAATAAAGAATCCTACCCAAAAGCCTGTAGGCTGGTGGAATGCAAACATAGCACAGTCAAATGAAAGCTCCAGACAAACCAACATATTATGGAAATTTCAGTACAAAGATGTTCCAATTGGTATAGCATTTGTTTTGTGATTTACAAGCATGTATATGAATAGTAAGAGCTATGCTGGAGTAATACTGTGTTTATATTTACAATGAAACATGATTATTTTCTTCTACAATGTTTAAATTCTCATATAAATTAATCTCAGCAGGGTAACAATATTTCCTGCCTTACTACTAATTAATTTAAAATCCCAGTTAGCATCAATTAATAGCTCAGTAATTTGTATTCATACTAAAGCCAGAATAGGATTCCGACTGTGCAATTACAAACGCTTTCAAACTACTCGATTTCCTAAGGAAAAGTTTCAGAGAAAATATTCCAAGACTAATAATGCGTCTTGTCTATGCTATGCCAACAGGTGTTCACAGATCATGACTGATCATTGCAGGCATCATGCTCTTGCCTAAACCTCTGAAATACACATTATACATTTAACCACAATAATCAATTACTGAATGTATACTTAACAACCTTTACAGAAAAGCTTTTTTCTCGTGTAAATGTAGAAAATGTTAGTTCATGCAATGAAGATGAAAATATTTGTCTGCATGACATTAACATTCTCAAAAGCATAGGTTTTATGAGAGATATCAATGCATGTGCCAGTTAGCTGAATAGTGTTGGGGGGGCAGGATGGGGTGCAGAGAAACCAATGTATAACAATTAGAAATCTGCATTCCTACTGAAAATAAAATTTGAAAGACGCAGCATTCTTGTCAACAAGAAACCAACAAGACAATTTACTACTGCAGTAAAAGGCACAGTATATAATGGCCTGTTTATTCCATACTCATTGAAACACCTCTCCCTCAAGAGTTACTTTTCAGTCAAATATTAAATTAGAAACTAACAGGGTTGGCTATCCAAAGAATGAATGCTAAAGTCACAGAATTGATTGAAATTAGTCAAGGAACGAAAAATACCAAACTGTGCCTTTTTGTGATTTGCACAAAACGTATAACAAATTATTGTTGTCAGCACTGAAAAGAATTCTGCATCTTGAAAACCATAATAAGGCAAAACAAAATCTGAAGAGACAGAACATAATTTTAAACTGGATTTAGTTAATACAAGGTTTTGTTATATCGCTATAAAACGCATAATAGCCAACACCATAGAAATGTTTCCTGTATAAAAACAATTACCACATTTATGGGTTCTCTTATAATCTGTACCACTAACTATACTGAAGAATGAACTTTTCAACCATTTATTCTGCATTTAGAGTGAACACTCTGTGAGGAACATTTCTACATAATGATTTCAAATGCAAAACAGAAAAAAACAAGGGAGTTGTTTCACGGTAGGCACAAAATACAAAAAACACAAATATTTGTTTCCATTTCCATAATTATCCCAAGACCAAGATGGGTAGTCATGTTAGTCTGTCTGTAGCAGTAGAAAAGAGCAAGAGTCCAGTAGCACCTTAAAGACTAACAAAATTTATGGTAGGATATGAGCTTTTGTGAGTTACTGCTCATTCAGATGCAGCTATTAACCCGATTCAGTGCCACTTTGGCAATACAAAATTTTAAAAACATACTAAAACTTCATGAAAATTCCTCATATAAGAAACGTGGGAAAGAAAATGTACCTGATAAGCCATATTGTGTACACAAGAACTAGTATGCAAATACAGCTGTATCCAGATGTCATGAACAAGCTTTGATTTGTTATGAAAGTAAGTCTAGTTTATCCTCAGGTCACACTTCTTCCTTGTTCTCAAGCATGGAGCTGAGACTGAAAATGTTCAGGCTTGAAAGAAACTACAGCTTGTTTCAACATCTCTATTATAATCTTGGTCAGAGCCTATGAGTCCATACAAGCATTTAAAATTGCCATGTATGCATACAGGCCACACCTTTGCTGGAATGCAACAAGGAACATACAAAGAGGTCCATAATTTTCACTTCCATTTCCCCCTAATATTTCTCTTATTAAAAGATTGTGCTTAATTATGGTAGGGTCACATCCACAGTTCTCTCTAAACTGTGCTAGGGGGCACTGGCACACAACATTTCAGAGGCCAGTTCAGAGGATTTCTGCTTCATCTTACAAACAATGGAGGATGGGAGCACCTCCTTCTGGGGCCCACAGAATTGGACCCCCTGGTCCAATATTTTTGAAACTTGGGGGGGTTTGTGAGGTAGAGACACCAGTAGCTATGCTGCAAATTTGGTGCCTCTGCCTAAAAAAAACAGCCCCCCAGAGCCCCAGATACCTTTGGACTGATTCTCCATTAAAGTCTATTGACTATAGTGGTCCCCACAGGCTATAATTCAGCCAGGGGGAAAAAAACATTTTTGCACACCGCTGTTCTGCTTTTCAGCATGATTTGTAAACTGCCTTGAGTCACAGGGAAAAGTGGGATATAAATATTTGAATAAATAAGGTTGAGCAGGTTGATAACATTTAAGCAACTTCCTGTTTGTTAGGTTAGGCAGGGTCGGACAGTGATTGTTCCACCTCTGTTATACTTGACCTGTAATGCTGGTTGTCATATTTCACTAAAAAAAAGCTAAGTAGACTGCAAGAGCACCACCACCCCCAAGTGCTGGTATGTTTTCTAAGTGTCAACACAGGGCGACATTCCAAGGCCAGGTCTACCCATATAGTGGAAAGGAGCAGTTTACCAGAGGCCAGGTCAACCCCCATAAAGGTAAAGGTTCCCTTGCTCGAAAATTAATCTACAGAGGGGACCAGCAATTTAAAGATACAACAATAATGGAAGAAATTGCTGTTAGGTTCACACAATAGCACTGTATAGACAAAAATGAATAAATAAACTTGTTGAGAAGATGTTCAATGATGTTTGTAATTTCTATATTTTCAGGACAAAGGACGTCTGACACTGAAGATAGGTGATACGAACATCTCGAGTGGTAGTTCGTTTCGAGACACAACTCTTTTTCAACCACAATTCAGATTCCCTGGTTGTCTTTTTGTGTACAGAGGTAGTATCAATCTTTTCCAACAACAGTTCCAACAGCACATAGGCTAACAAGTTTATAATACAGCACGCAGGCTTACTAGTTTTCAGTCCGGACAACAAGTTTACCAGAGGCCAGGTCAACCCCCATAAAGGTAAAGGTTCCCTTGCTCGAAAGCCAGTCAAATCCGACTCTAGGGTTGCAGTGCTCATCTCCGTTTCAAAGCCGAAGAGCCAGCGCTGTCCGAAGACGTTTCCGTGGTCATGTGGCCGGCATGACTAAACACCAAGGCGCACAGAACGCTGTTACCTTCCCACCGAAGTGGTACCTATTTATCTACTTGCAATTTCTTGCTTTCGAACTGCTAGGTTGGCAGGAGCTGAAACTAGAGATGGGAGCTCACTCCATCATGCGGCACCCGGGTCTTGAACTGCTGAACTACTGACTTTCCACAGCCTGCAGTTCAGCGTCTTAACCACTTGAGCCACCGCAGTTCCATCTATCCCATAGAGGACAACAATTTATGTAATGAAATTTGACTTGACTCTGTTTTCTCTTATAATGTTTAAATTATTCTTAAAATATAGCTTAAATATAGTGTAAAAGAATTCATTCTGAGATTTTTACAAAGTTATGGAAAGAAACAATAGTCAAATGTATACTTGCTCACAACTTTAACGCTACCAACTTTTTTTGCTCATGAGGCAGAATTTTGGCTTAAAAGACTGTGGAGCTTAGAGGGAATATTGATTACATCCTATGTTTGTCACAAGATTGACCAGATTTGTTGAACATTTTCTTGCATTTGTTCTGTTATAGAAAAAATGGGGGGGAGGGGAATACTGTAGTTGCATTTAATCTCCCCACTCCAGTATACATACAATATGTGCTCTATTCATTACTATAATTTGTTATTTGTTCCTCCTACTCAAATCTGAGCAACTCTGTTCCGTAGCTCTCACAGAAATGTCCAAGACTGATCTCCCTTAACTTCTGACTAGCTGCCCCTGGATCTAGATACAGAAAGAGAGACAGAGATCTGAATGGGAAACTTGTAAAGAGAAGGGGCCTGAAATATGCAATCATTTTATGCTTTCTTCATTAAGTAATTCAGAATATTTGTTTTAAATATCGTAACACACACAGAAAATTTATAAAGGACATAAACTAAGCCCACCTTTAAGGAATCATTAGTAGCCTTACCCCAGGTATAAATGTAAAGATATTGTATTTTTGATTTTTAATAGCATTTCTAGGATACTTTTCTTCACATTTTTCAGGACATCCAAGCCATACTGTGCGTGCTTTGAGTTCTTTCTTTCTTCGGCAAATGTTTATGAGCCAGTCACAGCAACTGCAAAACAAGAAAAGAGTTTTCTAATTTTTTTTTAATCAATTGCTATTTTTGTGTAGCGTCCACCTTGCTAATGAAACATCAATGTCATCTTGGTCTTTAAAGGAACCATGCCTTTGTAATGTTAGTAAACTGACCTCAACTGTGTGCTTCTGACCTGTACCATCAAATGAACGCTCAAATATAATATATCTAGTAGAAGCAGACCTACCTCCCTGTCTTGACTAAAAGACAAGCTTGGTTCTCACCAGGTACAACCACCCCACTAGATGTGGCTTTAACCACAGGGGACTGCCCTCCTTTGTTCCTCCCTAGTGATATGAATTCCTATTGGGGGGGGGGGGGTTGAACAGGAAAAAAAATCAAGGGAAAAATCTTTTCCCTGTTCTTCTCTGAGGGGTGCTGTTGTTGTTTTTGGCCAATGTTTCCAATGGAAAAATTAGGAATTTCTGGGGAGCCCTAGAGAAACTTCTATGAAAATAGTTTCTTTGAAATGAGTGAAATGCTTTAAAAGGCAACATTTTACTCATCCAAAATGTATAGCATAAATGTCTGAGCCCTCTCCCCCCATTTTCCAATGAAACTCTGAGGTATAACTCTAATGAAACATTGTTTTTCCTTTGGAATGAGTGAATTGTTTTAACGTTTATATATAGCATTAAACAGTATGAGGACTTTGCTTTGATTTTTCCACTGGAAAAAACTGGGAACTATTGGGGAACATTTTAAAAAAACCTATCATGTAACATTGCCCTTCTTTTGGAATAAATGAAATGTGCTAAGACAGCACAGAGTGCAGCTCTCTTATTGCTTTAGCCTTGGGTATCTTTGTAATTTTGCTTGTAGAAAACTAAGGCATTTATACTTTAAATTCCATATGTATGTCAATTAGTACAGTCTTATATGTTATCTAAGTTATAAATTATATGTTTTATTTTGTTAAAGCACCTAAATGAATTTAGGTATCCCAAAATTTCAGCATTTTTCCTAGGAACAAACTATTTTCTCCCTGTAACTTTAAAATTTCCTGAAAGTATACATCTTTACTAGGGATAGGCATGAACTAGAAAAATGTGGTTTGTGTTGGTTCATGGTTCGAACCATGAACTAAATTGAACCCAGAGGTTTGTTCACAAAACGAACCAGTTTGTGGCCCCGCAACCCCCCTTGAAAGGGACCGCAGTCCCTTTCAATGGGGTTTGCAGAAAACCAAAAAAAACAGCTGAGTGGCAGGGAGCAGCCTGCTCACCCACTCAGCTATTTTGGGCTGTCTTGTGCAGTCCCTTTAAAGTTTAAATGGACTGCACAAGGCAACCCAAAACACCTGAGCGGCAAGGCACAGGCACTCCCTGCTGCTTAGCTGTTTTTCAGGCTTTCGTGGGGAACAGAAAGAAGGGGTTTAAAGGGATTGAGAGTCCCTTTGAACCTCTGCTTTCTGCTGTATCCACAAATTGCCACAAACTGCTTTAAAAGTTTGTGGAAGTTCATGTTGGCAGACCCGTCACGAACTTTAGTTCGTGAACCACGAACAGGGCAAAATCTTTGGAAGTAGGTTTTTGGCAAGGAAAGTCCCCATAGGCACACAGTCTAATAGATACTGATGAGTGCTAGCATACAGCAGTCTGTTCATTAAACAACTTTAGTTAATAAAAGATTATTTTTGAAACAGTTTGGGGTGGAGAAGGTGAGGGGGACAAGTGGACCAGATTTGGTAGACTTGCACAAAATTGTTTCTCTTTACAAGAGTTATATAGCAGTTTATACACACATACATTCGTCCTTAAACTTACTAGAAAGTATCAGAAAATAGTTACAAGTTGTTCCAGGTATGATGATGAGCTATATATTGTTTGGTTCCAGTGCTACAGTTACTAGTCAACCGATTTCAGTAACAGGAATATACAAACCTGGCATTGGGAATATATTTTAAAATTAAAACAAACTATATATTGGAACTATATTCTTTACAATGTTTTCCATCTGTAATATTACACAATCTGTAATATATAGATGAAACTCTTTATCTTCAGTCCAACAGTATGAACTTCTAATGTGCAAAATTATTTTCTGAACTTTGCTTAGAAGATTTTGCCCAAGTCCTAAATATAATTATAAGCAATATAGGATCTACAGGTATTAATTTAAATTAAAAATTTAATGATCTGAAACAACACTCACAAACTGAAAAGTAACAACTAGTTCTTACCCTTCAGCACAAATGCTAAAATCTTCATCAGTTTAGCAAACACCTAAGTTTGAATCCATTTTGGCACAGCTAAACACCTGTGATTCCTCTGAAAAAGGAGGGCTGATTGGCACCTAACGATAAGCACATTAAGCCCTCAGATTCAACGAGGTCTCCACTGATGGAAATAATTATGGATTTTGACAATGCAATTTTGAAGCATTTATTACATGCAAATTAGGATTCAATACTTCAGATATCAGTAAGTCCATGTCCATTTAACACAGAAATCCCTATCAGTTTGGAGAGGTAATTGGGTCCCTTTTGTCATCATGAGTCTTGGCCCATGTAGCGCTGCATTAATAAAGGCTTCTGTTTAAGACAACACACAATTAAGTAGAGATAAAGGTTCCAAAGTATGAATCTGGGGTTCTAAATGAACATATGAATAAAATGTTTAAACTGTTATTGATGAGATCTGTTGGATAAAGATCAATAAATAATGGGAAACAATCTTTAACACCATGGAGTACAATTTCTTAAAATCACAACTACAACATATAAAATGCAGCACAAAGGTCATTTAAGGCACACTTATCTTCCTATATTTAACAGAGCAGAAACATTTTAGGAAGAATGAACACTTCTGATCACACAGTTGCATGTTGAGTTGCCTTTGTTCTTACTCAAAAAGCTTTAACTAAGATCATACCATTTCAATGTATGCAGACACTGGAAAATGCAATTTTAAATGCCTGTTAATGAAAAAGATGGAAGGATCTTCTAGCTATACAATGAGTGCAATGGCTTTTGTTTTTTACCATTTAGGTATCTCAGCTTTGTTGTGTATAGACACACACTGTGGTATAACTGAAGTTAGCAAATGATCCAGCAGAGCCGGTACAGCAAATAATGGTGAGAAGACTTAAGAGCCTTGTTAAAGGTTAGCTATTTTAATGAAATTAATTGGCATAGTGACATGCCTTTGAATAAAGAGGAAGTACCACACGTTCAGTGGCAGGGATGTATTTTTAAAAATGCAGGAATTGCTAGATAACTAGGAAACGATATTCCTATTTTGCATATGAAATACCTTCTGCCACATCAAGCTAAGCTTCACACAAAATCAGGTTTCATTTTTTAAAGCTGTTCGGCAATTTTGCCGAAGGTTTTAAATCTTAAGCATAAGTTACTCAAAAGAGAATTTTTTTCCAAAACAAAAAGATAATAAAAAGGCTCTATATCGTCTCCTATGAAAAAGCTATTCCGATGTAAATTCTGAGCAGCAGAAACTATTTATACCAAAAAACCCTTTAATTATTGAACTCTACAGGTAGCTTTGGTAATCAGGTCAAAAGCAACACAGTAGTTCATGTCACTCTTAAAAGATCAGCATTTTCCCATGCTTCAGCACAACAAATGTGTTACAGATTAACTGAAAGTGTACAAGCCATTTTAGAGTCCAAATTAATCCAAGTATTTGATATCCCTTTATTTCATATGGAAATGCCATTCAACAGCACCATTTTAATAGGGACAAAGTGGTTTTTGATAAGAACTGGAATGTAAATCTCATGAGAAAGAAATCAATCCAGCCCAAAGAACTTCAGAGTATTGATCTTTGTGCATTATAATTTCACAAGCTAAAACAGAACAACTAAAATAAAGAGGGAGAAATAATTACAGTCAAAAACTAGCTGTTACTATCCTAGGCTCTAATAACTATGAATATAGGGGGCAATGCTTTCTGTATTACTAAGAGTGCATTACAAAT